AAATCCTTTGCACTTAGCTGTATTTCCAGCCCTTTTTACTTTTTATTTTGAAACAAAATCTTGCTAAGCCACTGTATCTATTCTGATTGTAATATTCCTGCCTCAGTCTCCTAGTATGCTGGGATTATAGGTGTGTCTCACTATTCTGCTTTAGATTTCTTTTATACACTAAAGTCTAGCAAATATTAGTTTATAAAAGAGCTTAAAATCCTATCTATGAAAATTTTATGTTCTTATGTTATTAGAATCAGTGTATATATGTCATATGTGGAATAGATGTTTTATTAATGCCTGGTTTTATAACCACTGTCAGTCATTAAGAGAAAAATTGGCTTACTGAGTTAATTAGGTCTGAAAGATGTCATTTCATTGTACAGTATGAAACATATACTTCAGTGAAGCTTATCTCACTAGAAAAGTGTTTACATTTTTGGCAGTTGCTATGTTTGTAGTGTTACATATGAGTTTGCAGCATTAATTTATTGTACTTGCTCATTCATGAACAGTGATACTTGCCAGTATGTAACAGTTAAAGAACCTGATGAGTATAGTGTATCATACACCAGCTGCTCTATATTTCATGCTAAAGCACTAGTACCTTTTGCATACAATGCTTTATATAGCACTGGTGTAGATATGAACCAAGTAAGGTCTTATAAAAATAGTTCTAACCTCATATTTTACTGAAAGAGTCTTGGGGACTAGCTAGCAGTATGTAGACCACATTTTGAAAACTGCTACTTTACATTGTCTTGAAATTGTCCCGAATTTATTCTGTATTGCTATGTATACATTGCAGTGCCAAAAATACTGAAAAATTAACAGGTTTGTGTTGAAGAAAAATGCCCAAGGAGTATTATACCCATATACTTATGATCATTTGTAACTTTTTAAGTTTTATTACCATTATATGAGATTTAATAAAAAATTGGTCTTTATATGCATACTGGAACTACTAATCATTTTAAATTAAGTTGAATAGATGACAAACTAGTACGTATGAAGAGTTTCCTGATAAAACTAATAGTTCACAGTTGAATGTAGAATGTTAGACCAATATTCATGGAATGACATTTCTTTTAAGATGCTTACAGTATTTTATATTGTAAATCAATTAATGATTGCTAATGTGCTGGAATGCATTTCAGTACTTGATTACTTAAAAACTAATTTGGAATGTTTTCTGGTCAACTGGGTTTCAGACTTTAATTATCTGATCATTTATCTTTTCAAAACATTTTAAAGGGTAAGACTCTTACAGCCATTGCAGTAATTCTTACCAATTTCCATGATGGCAAGCCTCTTCCTGTTGAAAGAATTAAGAATCAACTAAAGGTAATGTATTAGTAAATTTTCTGTGCAGACATTGGCTTACTATCAAACCTTTTAATAAAGTCTCATGTAAATATAATTGGCAAAAAATTGATAAGCATTTTGAAAAATGTTATTTTTTTGAGAAATGTTATTAAATGGTATCTTTTGTGTTTTTAAGGTTGAAAAATATCAAAATTTGGGGGGATAATTGATACTGTATATTAAAAACCTTAAGTGTTCTTGACCTAATCATTAATTTCTAAGAAACTATCTAAACAAGTGCTCAAAACCCAGTTTTTGCTAAACAGCAGTGTAAATATTTCCCATGTTATTTTACTGTTTTTTTTTTTTTTTTTTTTTTGGTGGAACTGGGGATTGAGCTCAGGCCCTTGCACTTGCCAGTCAAGAGCTTATTCTACTGAGCTATCTCTCCGGCCTCCACATGTTATTTTAAAGGTAGATAATTTGAAATATAAATACTAGCTGTTAAATAGTGCATAGAATTCGGTAGCCTGCAACCACAAAAATCATTTTGAAGAATATTCATTTTCATTAATTATGGGTGACTTGATATTTAGCATATGTATGCTTACATACAGTGTATATGTACATTGCTATATTCAGCTCCTGGGGATTAAAAATCAACTTAATGAGAAAAATAAATGTTGAAAGGAATAATTATTCTTTAGTTGAGAATACTAAAAACTTAAAATAGGAAATAGGAAAAATATGTGCAGATGTCTTTTTGAACTCCTCTGAACTGCTAGTCTCATTCTTTTTAATTTTAGAGAGACTTTCAGTTTCTCACACCAGAGAAACAATGTGATAGTCACATTAACAGTATGGTCTCAAGGTGCATCCATTTACCTAGGAATGTCTCAAGTTTATTCTTAATGGCATAGTACTACATTGTATAAAATGACAGCATAAGTAAGGACCAAAATGTGTATTACTTATTGTGAAATATGAAGCAGATATTCAAACGGGCATGGGGGAAATGAAAGAAGGGAAAAGAGAAAGTGAGAAAAGAAGGAAAAAATGAAAACAAAGCTTTTATAAATGAGGAGGTGAGGGGAGCTTGAAAGGAGGGTAGAAGAATGGGAAAAAAGAATCAAGTTATATCATATTCAGGTAAAAATTCTGTGATAAATATCATAAATAAAATGTACTAATAGGGGCCGAGGAGATGGCTCAGTAGAATAAGCACTTCTCCAGCAAGTGCGAGGGCCTGAGTTCAATCCCCAGTTCTGCCAAAAAAAAAAAAAATTCTTTATTTTTCTGATGACTAGCAATCTATAAGTATTAAAATTTTTTGACTAAATGTATGGTAGGGAGATTTGAAGATACTTAATTTGCTACATTAATTTAAATGGAAAGATATAAATCATTTAAAAGATTTAAATGTTATTTTTCTTTTGGCTTAGAATTTACTATGACAAAAATGTCACCACTTTAAATTTAAATATTTCAAGCTGAAAGTGTCATAGATTAAAGCTTTTTTTTTTTTTTTTTTTTTTTTCAAAGGCTTTTATTTTTATTTTTTTTGCGGAACCGCGGATTGAACTCAGGCCCTTGAGCTTGCCAGGCAAGTGCTTATTCTACTGGGCCATCACCCCGGCCCCAGATTAAAACTTTTTAGATTTGAACATAGTATGATTTGGTATAGGTGGACTTTATAGGAAGTTTATCTTGAAACGGAAAACTTCTGAGCAAAATAATTTAATATATTGACTAATGTAAAGGGTGTCTATTTTATATGTAGATAAGCATTTAGGTTATATTTTATATACTATTTGGTATAAATGGTTATACTATTGGTTGAGAACTCAATGGAAAATTTGATGAATACTATTGAGGGTATTTTTAACATCTACTTTTTGGTGCTAATGATTTAAAAATGTTTATATTTTGGATTTTTCAAATTTGACTGAATAGTTACCGACTTTCTTTTCAATGTATGTAGTACAGGATCTATAAGGTCTCACTACACAGATTGGACTCAGTGATCCTCCTGTTTTCAGTTTCCTAAGCACTGGGATTACAGGCATGTTCTACCATGCCCATTCTCAGTTGCTGTCTCAGAGTACCCTGGGGGTGAGGCCTGCACGGCACACTGGGGATTGAACCCAGCCCCTGTGTCTACCTACCTAAACAAGTGCTTTAATCCACTGAGTTATCTGGCTGGCCAGACAGTTACCAACTTAAAGGACTCAACTTTTTTTTTTTTTTTCTTTTTTGGTAGTGAAGGGCTAGTTCATGATAGGCAACTGTTCCCCTAAGCTAAATTGGTAGTTCTGAGTTTAATAAGATTTTATGAATTGTTTAAAATTTTATTTTTATAGCATCTTTTAGACTTAACTTGTCATTGATACATTTTGAAACATGTTGTAGGGGGCACAGAAAGAGAGAAAAGGAAAACCCAGGGTTGGCAGGAAAACATTTTGGTTGGAAAAGAGGACACTCTGGGACATATTCTTTTAAATCTGTCTATTCTGGTAATATTGGCCTTTAAATCTGAGTAGACAGATTTAAAAGAATTTGCTGACTAGGGAATCTTGGCATGAAAAATTTATACAGTAGTCTAGAGATTTTTTTTTCTTTTTTACTATTTATTAGTATATGTTTGCAGTACATAATGATTACATTCCTTGTGGGGAATTGGTACATGTACATAACATACCTCAATATTTTTATCCTTTTCCCCTTCCTACTTTCCCCTTTTATGTCTTGGTCCCCATCCCATTTGCACTATTTCTATTTCCCTGTTTCCTATATATTATCTTTATTTTGTTCTTTATGTTTTGTGTTTCTCATATAAGAGCTTATATGTCCTAATTTATTTCATTCAACATTCGAGATGCATCCATATTCCCAGAAATGATTCAACTTTACCTCTTTTTTTGAGACAGGGTCTTGTTCTGTAACTCACTCTGGTTTTGAACACAGTATGTTGTTCAGGGTGCCTCAAGCTTAGGGCAGTTGTCCTTCAGCCTCCACAGATCTAGAACTAGGTGTGTGTCACTGTGCCCAACAAAGTTATCCTTTTTTATGGTGGAGTAGTATTCCATTATGTACAAATACTACCTTTTCTTTATTCATTCATCCATATGAACATATAGGCTGCCTCTAAGATTGAGCTATTGTGAATTGAACTATTTTGAATGGGTGTACATGTGATATTTTTATAACTTTTTGGGGGAGATACTTCAAGATTTAGCTGTTACAAATTGTGCTACTATAAACATGGGTATACATAGATTATTATGGTGTAACTCTTAATTCTTCTGGGAAGATGTCCTGAAGAGTACTATCTGGGTTAAAACAGGACCTCAAATCCTAATGTTTTAAGGAATGTCCACACTGATTACCACCATGGTTGTACCAGTCTACACTAACAGTGGAGAAGGGTTCCTTTTTCCCACAGCCCTCTAGCATTTATTATTGGTTACTTTCTCAGTGACAGCCATTTTTTCTGGAATGAGTCTCAGTATTTTAATTTGCATCTCTTGAATGACCAGTGGTGTTTAAAATGTTTTCATGTGCTTATCTGCCATTTGTATGTCTTTGTCTGAGAAATGTGTATTTATCTCAGATACCCATTTTTGTTTTGAGTCTTTGGATCCCGATTTTTTTTCAGTTCTTCATATGTTGTAAGTCCTTTGTCTGAGGGAAAACTGGCTATAATTTTTTCCTATTCTGTGGGTTGTCTTTTTACTCTGTTGGTGATGTCATTTGTTGTGCAAAAGATTTTTAGTAAGGTGAGATCCCATTTGTTAATTCTTTGTAGTATTTCCCATGCTATGTGGGTTTTGTTCATGAAGTCTCTGTCTATGCCTATGTCTTCAAGACTTCTACCTATTTAGTGTTAGATTTAGTGTTTCTGTTTTAATATTTAGATACTTGATCCATTTTGACTTTCGTGCATAGTAATAGACATGGGTCTAATTTTAGTCTTTGGCATGTGGAAAGCCAATTTCTTTTGCACCATTTATTAAAGAAACTTTCTTGCAGTAAACATGTTTGGCTCTATTGTCAAAGAGAAAGTGGCTGAGTGTGTTTGGTGCTGCATCTGTGTATTCTGTTCCACTAGCCTCAGGTTTGCTTTTTTGCCAGTGCCATGCTGATTTTATCAAAATAGTTTTAGTAGTACAATTCAGAGTCAGGGATTGTGATGCCTCCTTATTTGCGTTTTACTGCCCACCATTGCTTTTGCTATTCTAGGTCTCTTCTGGTTCCAAATGAATTTTAGCAATGCTTTTTCTAGTTCTGTGAGATATACAAATGGTATTTTGATTTGGATTACATTAAATTTGTGCAACAATTTTCACTAGGTTGGTTCGAGTATTGTAATTTTCAATGTATGGATCTTTTATTTTCTTTAGATTAATTCCTAAGTCAGTCAGTCAGTCAGTCTTTCTTTCTTTCTTTTTTTTTTTTTTTTTGGATGCAATTGTGAAAAACGTTGTTTCCCT